AAATTGGCCGACCACTGAAGTAAAGACGAAGTGTCAATTGAATAAATTAGATATATTTGTTAGTGTGAAAATCTCCTGGACAACAAGGTCATCGCCCAATATATTCGACTAACTGTCGGAGAACTTTTTGGTGTCACGATTATTCATGTTCCTTTGACAACAGTACGATATGATCTACGTCAAGGATATTAATAATATACTACTGTTGCTAATAAAGGAACATGCGATTATTGGACATCTCATTCGTCGGTAAGAACTCAATCAAATTAAAATTAAAAGCATTGTGGAATGGCAAAACCCAAAATAGCTTGTCAAATTTCTCTACTTTGGGTTTGGCTGTCCCAGAACATGAGTTGCATAGTAATTTCGTCGGATGAGTCTTCTTAGATCCTACTGAGGTTCCCGAATTTCAGAAAATGTGAACCAGATGACGGATGTTCAAGCATCATTACAGTGCAGTGGATTAACTTTTTTGTGGACACCGACTGTTTACATCGTCACCTATACATTAAGAAATTTACACTCAATAAAAGTTGATTTATTTCTAGACTTCATCACAACAACAACACCTGGCGCAAAGACAACAATATCAGTTGCAGCTCCAAAGGAAGGGGGGGGGGGGGGGGGGTAACAATCTTTAACGGTCCAAAAATGACTTTTTGTGGAAAAGCGCATTATTTCAATGTTAAATTGTTTATTTCTTATACATAAATTGTGGGAAATAAGGCCTTTATTTCCAAAACATTTCCAATGTCCACAGCATGGCCCCCTTAAATGGATTCGAAAAATTGTGTGGTGCTCTGCGTGCCCCGTTTCGAAAGAAATTAGGTTTAATGCTGTATATGTCGTATATCATTATGTATTCTAACAACACAATAACATGCTAATGGAACACATTGTAAATTATAGAAATTGGGCCTAATTAACCCACTGCTATATAAGAATATAAATCAATTGAGGTTCAATGCCGAATTTTATCAATATTGGAAATTTGTCTGGGTTTTTTCTTTTCTTTAAAACTGAATTCCATCTATAATTGTATAACATGAAACGAAATGATAATCATATTTAAATAGAGGCTAGATAGGCTAGCCTACGCGGGTGACAAGTAGGCTATACCAAGCCAAAACATAATGAAGTCGGCGAATAACATACATGGGCCACCAAACATAAATAGAATGAAGCAGGCATATTCTGCATAGATTAAATCATACACCAAGGCCTACTTTCCAGCTAAATATCTCAAATTAAGTATTTCCTTAGCTTCTTTAACATCACACTCCGGTCAAAATCTTCCTTTTCAGTTGATATTAGTTTAAGATATCGTTTCACCTTTTATGTATGTAAAAACGCATGTTACTACAGTATCAAAGAGGTATGGGACGTAACTCCAGTTTAAGTTGACTATTTCATAGTTCCAAATCAGTAATTTACACGAATTAGTCGTAGATCCGTTTCCAAAATTAAGACACCACCACAGAATTTATGTAATTTCCGGTTGATGAAACTTTCGATTGAATTTTGTTTTGATTGCTGAATGTAGGTAATTGATTGATTCTTTTGCATATTAAGACAATGAACTAAGGCAATGTAGATTCTGTGTCGATATATGTCTCGGACATACATATACCAAATAAGCATACGCTTGTCACATCGTTTTGTATCTCAAATTCAAATTTTGATTGAAGACGAAGAGGGCTTTCGACATTCAAGAATCCGAACGTAATAGTAATCTTTTGCTTGTGACATTGGCTTTGTTATCTGTCTATTACAGTAGAACTACAGAAGAATGCAACCATTCTTATATTGCGCAATTAAAAAGTGTAGATTACTTCTAGTTCTACTACTCCTGCAAGATAAGTGAAGACATGTATTTTGAAAATTGAACTGTGAGAAAAATTGCAGCTGTCACTAGCCCTAGGCTAGATCACTAAGCATAATCATTGTCAATCTAATCACCATTACTGGCATTAGCTCCTATCTGAACCTTGTCAAGACGAAATGATATTATCTATTTTCAGATCACTATGTAGGTTGTAGAAGATCAGGTTGAGGAAGTTCATCAAACGATTCAAAATGCAGCGTTTATTACCAGCCAATAAGTTAACATCAGTCCGCTGTGGAGTGGCCAGATTTAAATCTACATTAACTAAAGACCAAAGAGAAAAGTTGGCTGATGGACCAGACTTGGCAGATTTTATTCAAGATGATCCAGAAATACCAGAAGAACCAATAAAACGCAATAAAATCCAGAGATTAAGGTTACCTGATTGGTTAAAAACAGGAATTCCCATGGGAAAGAATTTCCATGAAGTGAAATCAACTCTTCGAGATTTGAATCTTCATACAGTGTGTGAGGAAGCAAAATGTCCCAATATCGGAGAATGTTGGGGTGGTGGTGAGCATGGCACTGCTACAGCAACTATAATGGTCTTAGGTGATACTTGTACTAGGGGATGTCGTTTCTGTTCAGTAAAAACAGCACGAAAACCGCCCCCTCCTGATCCACTGGAACCAATCAACACCGCGAAAGCTATAGCGTCATGGAAACTAGACTACATTGTCATAACGTCAGTTGATAGAGATGATTTGCCAGACGGAGGTTCGGCACATTTAGCAGAAACGATTCACGAAATCAAAGCACATAAACCTTCGATATTAGTTGAATGTTTGACACCGGATTTTCATGGGGATTTGAAAGCTGTAGAAAGGGTTGCTAGAGCAGGGTTGGACGTGTATGCACATAACGTAGAAACAGTTGCTGAGTTACAGTCACAAGTTCGTGATCCACGGGCTAATTATAAACAATCACTATCAGTATTAAAACATGTGAAAGATTGTGATCCAAATCTGATCACGAAAACATCGTTGATGTTGGGATTGGGTGAAACAGATGACCAAGTTCATAATGTTTTAAAAGATTTAAGATTTATTGGAGTAGACTGCTTAACTTTTGGACAGTACATGCAGCCAACACGCAGACATCTCAAAGTGAAGGAATATGTCACCCCCGATAAATTTAACTATTGGAAAGAAATTGGCGATGAAATGGGGTTTGCTTACACCGCTAGTGGTCCATTAGTTCGTTCCTCTTACAAAGCTGGGGAATTCTATATAAAAAATCTGGTCCATAAAAAGAAAGTGGATGCATTAAGTTAATTTGTTTTATTTGTAACAGGCTGTGAGATTATTAAATATTTAAGATCTGATCATTCTTTTATTTTTGAAGAGAGGAGGTTCACATGGCAGTTGTTTCATGTTTCTTCCTGTGTTGTAACCAGTGGGGGAACAGGCAAAGGGGAGGGGGTTGACATTTCCAATAGAAGAATAGTTAGTATCCCCAATTTAATTCTGAGAAATTTACAATTAAGATTCTTATGCATTTTTACCCCAAAGTATGTGTGAACAAGCCATCTCACAACCTGAGCATAATTTTGTAATTACTGTTCCTCTCAGTTGATTGGCCATTCAGATGAATTTATTTGTTAAAGAATTGATCGAATTACAATTTGTGATATATCACCTGTTTAAGAAGTGAATTTAGTGATGTGATAGTAAATTATGCATTCCATAAGGCCTTTTTGTCCTTTTGGAGATGTTAATAAGCCTTACAAGAATAATATGCAGAATTCTATAGAAATAGACCTGAAATTCTGTTCAAAATCTTGCTGTTTAAATTTGTCAAATATTATGGATGCTACGCTACTGTCCATAATGAGAAGTGATAAGAGTAATTTGTAAAGCAGGTTACACTCACTGTTGTACTAGAACTTCTAGAACACCTGATGATCTCATGCTAGATAGGGAGTTACCCAGCCTGTAGCATGTAAAAAGAGTGAAATGGGCAATAACTTCAACATGAAATAATTCTGTCGTGGCACGAAAACAGACAAAAGTCGCACAGGAACATTAGACGAATCATCCAAGCACAGTAATTTGTTATGAAACGTCTCGTCCTCATTATACCTAAGTTTCGCTTCCAAAGAAGAAGCGAACTTTGATGGGATGGATAAAACACAATATAATCTGGAAACAATTGAAGCTAACGATTCAGTTTCTTCGTTTCTATGTGCAATTTGTCAA